ATAATAGTATTAACTGACTGGCTGATCTGTCTCAACTATTTGATAACCGTTTCGCCAAATATTGCGTAAGAATAAATATTTTCGTTCATGCATGATCATGTGGATCACAATAAGTTGCTTTCTTGTTAGGCAAGTGTTACCCGCGTGCAAGCTATCATTTTATATTAATACAACTCATCCACCGAAGATAACGCTCGTGATTTCCGCTCGGTCACAGGCGTTGCATTCTCCCGTCAAGTGCATTACAAAATGCATCCACAAAAATTGTAATGAACGTCAAGTACATTACAAATAAAACCACAAAAATTTCAATGCACGTCAAGTGCATTACAAATATTTACACAAATGTGTGATGTGGATGATATTTCCACAGAAAATAAAAAAGAAGCAGTTGAATATTGGAAAAGTGGTAAGTCAAAAGCCAAGAACAATAGAATCTGTGAAATCAAGGTATCGGAAAGTTTCATTAGCAAGACAATTGCGACAATGGAAGCAACAACTGAATATAGGTAGTAATAGAATAGAATAGAAAAGTTGAGATAAATTTCAATATATACGTTAAACAAATTTATTGAAGCAACGGTAAAAGGAGCAATAATTCACGATATGATTGATATTAAACGATGAGCTTTGCAAGCGCAAGAACAAGAAAATTTACCAGGGTTCATAGCATCACACGAATGAGTAAGAAGACAAAAAAATTGAAATGCACGTCAAGTGCATTACAAATGCATCCACAAAAATTTTAATGCACATGTGCATTACAGAAGCACCCACAAAAATAAGCTCCATCCATATACTGAGTGCAGCGCATAGCCGTGTATGGCAGTGTCTGAAATTAGTTTGACAAATCTGATGAAAATCCATATACCAATGATATCTGGACTGGCAGTTCCCAATTTCACAAAACCACCCTACAACTTTTCGCCAGTGGTAGCTGCTATCTTATCCAAGTGCATTACGAAAATCTACAATACTAAAATAACAAAACTAAGTATTTAATACTTTTTTTGCTTAATTCTTTGTAAGCATGCTTTTTTTACCGAGGGACACGAATGTCCCGCTCTTCATAGATTAAGTCCCGCGCGCAAATGGAATTATTAGCGCCGTAAAACAAATTGTGCGCGACATTTAAACATCAACACTTGTTTAATAAAGTGTTGCGTAGAGCTCTACCGTGTAAGACAAATATAAAATATAAAATTCTAGAAAGGTCGTGCACGACAAAAACGAAAGCGAAGACGAGATCGGCAGTTGCGACACGTGGCATACACATGTGCATGCGTCCTTTCGAGGCTGACTCAGTGACGAGATAAGAGACAAAGGCTTTCGGCTCGGTAAATGCGTAATCCATGCAGGCACGGACAGGATCATCGCCGCCCCTCTGACGTGAAGGTCACAAAAAGGGACCAATAAGGGAGCTGGCTGGATGACTGAGGAGAGCAGCGGATTTCGAGAAAGTACGCCACTTCGGTCGAGCGCATCGCACTGTCCACCTCGGGCCTTTTTCTCTCGTGGCAATAGAAGCAGTTATCGAAGTCTGTAGTCAGTCTCGAAGGCACGCGACGTGTACGTGACATCCGCGACCCAGGGCACACAGCTCTGAGGCGTCGTTGCGGTTTATACAGTGATATCCGTGACCCAGGGCACATAGCTCTGAGGCGTCGTCACTGTTCACGCCACCCGCACAAATAGCGAGAATCCGTCTAACAGACGTGGCGTCCGCGACTCAGGACACACATAGCCCCTAGGCGTCGTCGCGGTAAAAATACATAGCGATTAGAACTTAAAGACTACAGTGTATAGTGACGAAATCTGAATAAACGTTGTAATAATTCACATACGCGAAAATACAGTTGGGAACTTAAGTGCATCTGTCGTATAGAGCTCAAAAAGGGTCGTGCACGACGATGCGATGCGAAAGACGGGTTCGGTCAATAACAATTATATCCGCACGTGCATAACACATGCCTGTGTCTTGGAAGCCGGCGCGACACGGCGGCGCCGCGGTATCGATCAAGGGACTTCCGGTTCTTTCAATTTTGGGTCCGTGTACAAACAAGAAGGATCGTCACTTACGTAAGCACGACGGTCACGTTACCGAAGGGGGACCAATCGGAAGCGGGTTGACGAGTGGTGGAAATCCACGGTCGTCGGAAAAATCTTCACTTCGATCTGGATCGGCATACTGTGCGCGTCGAGCTCTAAAATCGATATTCATACATAGTCGGCTTCCAAGAGACAAGTGCGTGTATCAAGCCGCGACCCAAAGCACCACGCGCTTTGAGACGTTGTCGCGGTTCATACCGACCCGTAAAGAGGCGTGACCTCTCGAAAAATAAAGTGTTCGCGACTCAGGGCATCACAGCCCCCAGGCGTTGTCGCGAGTGCGAAATCGAGTGCGAAATCTCGAGAACAAAGTGTTCGCGACTTAGGGCATTACAGCCCCCAGGCGTTGTCGCGAGTGCAAAATCTCGAAAATAAAACGAACTATGCGATTAGACGTTACTTCGCGCAATGTACGTGACGCGAATTGAATAAACATTCTGAATAAACTTATACACGGAACTACAGTAAGGATTCGAGTTGCTTCCTTCTTGACCACTACAAGACAGCATCCTTTCTGATACAAAACATAAAGTGTATCTTCTTATATTATTGGATTCATGGATTGACCATTGCCTTGATGTAATTGCAAGAAATAAACTATAAGGATAATATACAAGATCTGTTAAATATGTACTAGTGAGTTTAAACTCATTTTCTTTTACCTTTGCATTCGGCCCTTTGCGACCAAAAATTCTAAAAATAATCTCGCTTTGCAGTGAACAATCGGTCGTTTACTGTACGACTCCAAGAAACTTCACGGAATCGTCAAACCAGGCGCGTCCGCCAAGCAGCCCAGAGAACAGCCCGGACTCTGCTTGATTAAGTCTTCGCGTAGTGGCGAAATGCCTTAAGGAATGTGCAAAGAAACGCACGGGGCTAATTCCCCAAAAACCTTTTTGTCAACCTTCTTCACAACAAGAAACACTTTCCCCTGAAGTCCTCCACTAGTAAAATTAATGAATACAATTTGACCAAAACAACAACGATACGTCAACGATATAATAAGCAAACATGACGACCATTTTCAAATTCCCAGCGATAAACTCGGTTTTACAAACCGTATACAACACAAAATCACCACGACAGACGAACATCCTATCAATACCAAGAAATATCATTCTCACCGATCCACAAGGAGGAAGTAAATAAACAAGTGAAAATCCTCCTAGAAAACGACGTAATCCACCCATCTAACTTTCCATACAACTCTCTCTTGTGGATAATTCCAAGAAAACCAAATATATCCATAAATTCATCCCAGTATAATTTCTTAGTAAATATATTTGCGTAACATAGTTTAGTTGCGAGCGATCTTCTTTTCTTATTTTTGTAAAAGGGAAGTCTCAACGGATCTACATATATAACTTTCTACAAAGATTCCGTTAAGATTTCACTATAGAAACAACATATGTACACCACATGGAAAGTCATAAACCCGGCTATTGTTTAATCCGCTTCAACGACCGGCGTGGACTTTCCTTTTGGTCCTTTAGAAAAGTTAACAATCGACAGGAGACAGAAATTCATTTTACATCATATATATATATAATAATTATTTCTATACCTTGCTAATAAAAGACTTTCTGGCTATGTTTCAATATATGTTATAATATATATATTACCACAGCCAGCAAACTGCTGTCATTTTGCTATCTGGAATACCTTCTAGAACCTTCTAGAAGCTTTACTTATCATACGGCAAGAATTTCGTGCGGACCGTGTGCCGAAAAGAGTGGTGTCATGTAACAATCCCCAAACTCCACCCACTCTAAAAGCCTATAAAACAAGAAGGATGACTTAACCGTAAGAAAAAATGTTCTTTTGAGGAGTTAAGTAGTTATCCCAACATTATTACAACTTAAAACGATTTAGAGCATTTGGGCACATGAAGATATTGTTAAAACAAAACAATTGTTAAGATAAAATGTTTAGTTTCAAACATCGAGAAATTAACTAAACAAGAAATTCGGAAATGCCTAGCTTATCAAATTACCGACAACACGAGTTTTCGAGAATCATTACAATTGAAGGGAATTCCAAACAAACCATTTGTAATTCTTGACATTGATTATGCAGGCCCCTTTCCAAAACATAAATATATATCTTCAACTTGTATATGAATACTCAAGATACCTATTTATAGAAATAGTCAATTCTGGAAGATTCCAAGACCTTAAACCTATACTACAAAAGATATTCGTTCTGGTAGATCAAAACGCATTATTTCAGAAAATAGATCACCTGTTATAGCCCAAAGGCTATCGCGCGCGATAAATCTTGCATTTCGGCAACGCACAGCAGCGAGCGGAAATGCAAGAATGCAAGCTCGCGAATTCCTCGCGAGCGCAAATCAAAGGTCGCATGGGAAGACGACACCAGACTTCCCATGCCCAAATATGGTCCGATCGCGGACCATCGCGAGGGAAATAGGATACCGGGAAAATTCTATATAAGGAGCTGACTAATCGGGCGCCAGGAGAGTTCGATAAAAAGAGTGATACCGACTACACGTTACG